ACAAGTATACAACCCAAAAATCAAATACAAAATCCATGCAATCAAACACACATGCACCCTTTGGGTAATTCCACCTGTTGCCTTATAAAAATGGTCATGTTATGCATGTGGGATATCTTAGCAAAAACAATCACAAATACAAGATCATAGTCCCTCGATGACGCTACAAATGTTGTCTTACAAATGATCTTAGTCCCTTAAAGAGAAATGCTAAGATATCTCACAACATTGCTATCATGACTATACGATAACCCATGTCTGTCCCTTTACATCCAAAGATAAGGCTTATTACCAAATCAATGGTAAGATAGCAATATCAAAGGAAATGAATAAATGAACTAAGACTTTTGAGTAGGTAGATTGTTCCTAGTTGCTTTCTCATTTTCAAATCAAACACTCTTGCTTATTTTCAAAAACAAACACCAACACTTTCAAAACCCTTTCCAAACATGAAATATTTTCAAAAGCTCAATACTTTGTATACGTTCTTACGAATGAGAACCATTACAAAGTTTGCCTAAATAATGACGCCTTTTCAAAATACTTTAAAAAAAACCACACAAAGCACATTTTCAAACAAAAGCAAGTGATCTAGCAAGAAACTAAGAGCCCAATAGATAACTATGGATGAAAAGGGTGCTAATACCTTCCCTTTTCATAATCTACCCCCCGAACTCAGAAATAATCTCAAAGGTCTTTCCTGTTCTTTTCAACCTTTCCTTTTGGATAAAAGAAAAGTCGGTGGCGACTCTTGCTAACCGCAACATTTATGATAAAACACAAAACACCCAAGTCAGTTCTCCCACCATATTACAAATGGTAAACAAAAAAAAAGCGGAATGAATACCATACTAAAGGTGTGACAGTTTAACAATGGTAAACAACAAAAGGATATAAGAATGAATACTATTTATCAAAGTTCTGATAGTCTAACAATGGTAAACAAAAAAAAGGATATAAGAATGAATACCATTTATCAAAGGTCTGGTAGTTTAACAATGGTAAACAACAAAAAGCGAATAAATACCATTTATCAAAGGTCTGATAATTTAACAATGGTAAACAACCAAAGGATATAAGAGTGAATATCATTTATAAAATGTATGATAGTTTAAAAATGGTAAACAACAAAAGGATATAAGAGTGAATACCATCTATAAAAATGTGATAGTCTAACAATGGTAAACACTAACAAGCAGAATGAATATCATCTATCAAAGGTCTGATAGTTTAACAATGGTAAACAACCACGAGGTTAAAAGAGTGAATACCATATATCAAAGGTGTGGTAGCCTAACAATGGTAAACACAAGAAGGATATAAGAGTGGATATCATTTATCAAATATGTGATAGTTTAACAATGGTAAACACCAATAAGCAGACTAAATACCGTCTATCAAAGGTATGATAGTCTAATAATGGTAAATAACCAAAGGATATAAAAGTGAATATCATCTATCAAATATGTGATGGTTTAACAACGCTAAACACCGAGAAGGCTATGGATAAACCAATCTTTAAGGCAAGACAATAATTGATAACAAGTACTAAAGCTCAATCTAGGAACAAACCAAAAATAAACGGTCAAATAAGACTCTACCCAGTGAGGAACGAGCTCAAATGAGGATTAATTCCATCCAACTAATGAGATGGATAGGAAGGTTAAAGCAAAATTCTTCCACGAGGAATAAACTCAATGGGGAAATGGAAAGGATATGCACTTTCTGCTTAAGGTTGGAATTCTATTGGAGAGAGTATACACACTCTATAAAGAGGATAAAATACCAACAGAAACATCAATGAATGCAAATAAGTAATGAATTTTATTTCAGCTATGCATGATGTATGTATGAATGAATGGTGTCATGTATATGCTGACAAAATAGACACACTACATTAGGGATAACCAGACAAAAAAACTTGGGATAGTTGGCACTCGACTAAATCACATCCAAGATGGAAATATCATAAGAGAGTAAGCAACTAACTCAAAAAACAACGTCCTACTTTAACGTTTAGCTTTTTTGGGAAAGGAAATGTTGCTTGAGAATAAATAAAGCACAATCCTATAACAATAATCCACAAAGCTACATGGATATAAAAACTTCCTTTAAGCTTTACCAGGAGATAACATACAAACTTCGCTGGGGAAGATGATACCACACCCGTTGGGGAAGAAAACACAAGGCTCTTCTAATACCGAGAATATTGATTTCACAAATTTCGCTGGAGATGATCAAAGAAAATTCATGGGGATAACAACCTTAAAGGGAAACATCACCCTTGGTGTACATGAGAAACTAAGAAGTTAACATCATATCAAGAAGTCAAGCTTGTGGGGATTTTAAATCAAAATCGACACATGAAGTGTGAAAACCCAAAAGTTGACAGTTGTTTCAACACTTCTTAGAAAATCTATTGCTTTTGACCTGCTACTTGGGGAGCACACAAAAGAAACAATGTCATAACTGGAGGGAGTAATATCCTGCAGGAGATCCTTTATCAAGTCTCAACATGAAGGGAGAAAGAATCCAACAACTGAGAAAAAGCTTCATAACTTTACAATCTCTGCTTGATCACAACCTGGATGGAAAAAGAATCACATTTAATTGGAGAAATATGGACCAAGACTTAACTAGGGAGTATGGAATCACAAATCAACACCACATAGAAACTTAAAGGAAACCCACTATGCGATTAACAACTACAGGGGAAACCATGCACACATTTGCAAGAGCGGCCACAAGAACAACTCTGCTTGAGGAAGATTCTTGGCTTGTGGGGGAAAAACATAATGATTGTCTTGAAAAAAATACGGAAATGCCCTAGGAAACAACTTTGGTACCCCAAGTTTACTGTGCTGATCGAGATAACCTTCATAACTTGCCCCAGACTGCATGTATTTTAAGATAATTTGCCTGCGGACCTTTGGAGATTTGTCGAATCTCGACGTAACTGCCCCAGATTGACTGAATGTTGCATACTCTTTACTCAACAACTTCTTTTTGGCAACATGCCCTTTGTTGATACTCAAATGTAAGCTTCCTTGATATCAAGCATTTGTTTTACAAGCAAAAAATGTTTATTCTGAGAATGAAAATTCTAATGCAACAGTTATGTAAGTCTTAAAGATTTTTTTTAAAAGATGTCGCAAAACCTTGTGAACGAATCACTAGCCAGGATGCTATATTGATGCGACTGTCATGTAATATCGAGTTGGGAACGCTATATTATGCGACTGTCATGTTCCTTTTTATGTTGAACTGATTTATGGATGTTTTGATTGTTATACTAATTTAATAATTGATGAGACAAAAGTATGAGTTTTTGAGAAGTTAATTACTATATTATGACGATGAATTTCGGTGCGATGTCTTTAAATAATGTGATGAATTATATTCAGAAGTATGTTTCGTATTGACGTAACCCCGTGTTACGAAGTAAGATTGTGTTATGATATTTTATTATGACAATGTGACACTCTTGTTTGGTGATTTAGTTGAATTATTCTTAAATTATTCATGATTTTCACATGGGGTTAGAAGGGTGTTACACAATCAACAATGATTATTTTAAATCCAAGATGATTGATTTAACTTTGTTTAGGTAACAGACAAGGGTTTCCACGTTTTATTCAAATTCCTCTTTGTATGGTTACAATTATTTAAAAGTCATCATTGACTTTGAAGATCCAAAACTCTTGTTTTCTAACAAAACATCATACTAGTTAACATGTTTTTATACATTTACTCGTTTTTGTTTCTTTTAAGTTAAACAATAGATCCTCATGTATGCTGAGTCATTGAGGTCATTCAAGGAGGAGTGTTGCCTCAAATTTGTTGACATTTGGTAAATCATCAAAGAAGATGATCCAACGGTCAGTGTGTGATGGACGCGTCGTCTCGTTCACAATGTCTTATAAGACGTATGACTTGTTTGCTTCTGTTTCTCAAAGTCAATATTAAACTCATAGGGATTTATCGACCAAGTTACCAATCTTCTTGAAAGCTCGGGTTTTAGCACAATCTACTTGATGAAAAATTGTTATTGAAGACTATTCATTGTGATAGAAAACAATGCATGACAAGGAAAATACTGGTTTATCCAATTTATAATATTGTTTCTCCGTTCCTTGCAACAACTTACTTATAAGACACATTGGATAATATACTCGTTCCCTTTCTCCAATAAGTACAAACTGATGACATCTTTCGTGGAACACATAAAGTGAGTCTGGTTAACAATAGAGGCAACAAAATGAATCTTAGATTAAGGAGTTTGTTGGAAATGCTCTGAATTTTTGAGGACTTAATAAAAGGGCCCAAGCCCAGGCAAGAAGCGTTTTGTTAACTTGAAAAGAGATCAAGATAAAAATGTTATTAATCCTTCTAGTTATTACACTTTTATGATGTACGTTGGACTTTTCACTATGCGTTTGTCAGAGTTAATTTATATCTCTTTCTATCTGATTATGAATATTAAGATTTTGCTTCGTTAAAATCAAAGAGCTTTACATATATTCAACAAGTCTGTCTTAAGTTTTTAGAGGCCATATATAAAAATTTACAAAAACTTATATTTTTATAAATTTGACGCAGTTTCAAATATTTATTGTGCGTTAAACCTATTTTATTTAATTTTTAAAAAACTTCTTAAAAATGTTTTGTTAGAAATAGTCGAATATTCTATGCGGGCAAATAAGTTTCATTTTAAAGATGTGACATAGTTGCATTTAAGAGCATTTGTTACCATTTTCTTAAATTTAAATACATGATAAAACACCATACTTCCACTTTAATCTTTCAATCACAACTTGGTGAAAAAAAAAAACTTTTAATTCTACATCATTAGCATATGGCGGGAACAACGCCGAACTCCCTCCAATTTTTTCTCACGCTAAATTCAAGTCCTAATCACTTTCGTCTCTTCTCCCTCCACCATTACCCCAATTTCCAAAACCCTAACCGATAGATCGAACAATTCCAGTCCCACCTACGCAATGGCCGATCCCGTCACGGAACTCAGTCCCTCAGGCAACACCGCCACACCGCTGACCCGTAATGTCCGCCGGAGATTGGTCCAATCTACGCTCTTCCCTCACAAGCCGGCAGAGCCCCGCAACAAACCCGAGGAAAATGGCGACAGTTGTGACGAACAAGACGAGGATTACTGCGAGACGAAGAGTCGCAGGAAGAGAAAGTCCAAAGGAAAAAAAGTCGCTCCCACCGCAAATAAAGGTCCCAAGGTTCGTCATTTTATTTACATATTTTGCATTTCAATTGGAAATTCCGTTGGAGTGATATGTCACTAAGTTAAGAGTTCGAATTCATACAGTGTTTCATTTGAATCTAATTTTTATCTGTGTGCTCAAACAGAGTGCCACACCAAAGAAAAATGCACCAGCTAATGGAATTGTGGGGAATGTTTCGTCTGATTTCGATAAAGTTGATAAACCTAAGCCCGATTTGCGTTTAGAGGCAAAGTTGTCAGCTGAGGTTAGTATGGACCAATTATGCATTGTTGGTGTTTGTTAAATACACAGCTACCTTTAGGACTAGGGGTCTTAATGAATTTTATGATTTGAATTGCGTGGATTGAAAACCACGGCAAACCTATGTAACTATGTTAGCTGTAGTTGTAGTTTGGTGAAAAATTAAGCTTGGGACTTTCATTAATGTTGCTTTGGTTTGATACTTTTTTCCCTACTTAGTCACGACCTAACAATATGTGACTCTCTTGTACTTTCTTTTGTTTTTTGATCAGGAGAATTCAAGGATGTTTGCAGGTCGGCAAGTTCATCCATTTTTTTCATCCTGTAAAGCAGGGAAGAAAGTTCAGGAGCTGTCTGAATCAGGAAGTGATCTATTCAAAGCTAAGAGTGGGGATGACAGGATTACCTGTGGTCCTATTCATGTATTTGAAAATATCAAGGTATGGTATATATGGCTTCTATTTTCTGTTTGCTTTGCTTTGATGTGATCAAAAAGAGGGGATATGTAATTGGTCCCTTGGTTTTGAATTCTATAATATCATATTTTTTCATTCAGTGTAAAATTCGTTAATGCAGGCTGACACCTCATCGCTAGATTGGAGAAAATGGACATTTTTGAGTAATTCCACCCATGTGAATGGTGGATTAGAAAGTTTAAATTCATCTGTTTACGAGGGTTCTGTTGAATGCTTAAATTTTGATAAGCTTCTTAGTACTTTACATCCATTGGGGGCCTCAAGTTTTCATTCTCCGTGTCCAGAAAATCTGCAAGAAACATCATTACCAAACTCAATTTTACAAAAGGAGCAAACAAAAAATGCCAAAGTGGTATATAATTTGTTCAATTTTTATTTTTTAAAATGAAATAATGCCTCCTATACATAACTGGGGCATGTAGTGGAAGCTAGTTTGCAATATATACTCTCACAGTCTCATCTAACCTTTTTTTATTTGCTAACTGTTGACCAAAAATTCTTCAGGACTTGGAGGTGGATGAGTCTGATACCTTTTCTGTGCTAGCTGGCTATTTTAGAAAGTCATGTACTGAGCCGTCTAGTAGATTTCTTCAAGAAAGGTAAATGTATGCCAGAATCAGGCAACAATATAGTCACGGCAATACAATCTCTGTACATTTGAGTTTTGACTGTTATAATTATGCCTTTATTTATTTCACATATTTGCTAATGCTTATAGGTAGGTAAAACCCTCTGTTTTAGTTTTCTCTTTAACACCATATATAATCCGAGTGAAATGTGCGGAAGTTCTTTGTAAATGATACAATGAAAAGATGGTTGTTTAAATCATTAAATCCCCAGAAGTTCTTCACAAATGCTTATGATCATTATATTCTTTGCTAATGTTTACTACAATCTCTTTACTAAACTTGTTCGATTTTTCACTTTTATCTCTTTTACTTGCCAGTTCAACGAAGCATGTTAATAATTATAGCCGCCTCAATCATACAGAATCAGTATAATGCTTGTTCCATATAAATCCCAAATTGCTATTGTCTTGTCATAAATCTTTTAGCATAAATTTATGACAGTAGGAAAGTTCCCATCTCTTACTTTAATTTATGCTGAAATCAACCCTGTAGTACTTGATAGAAAACAGAGAAGCAAAGAGTGAAAAGAAAGAGAAGAGAGAGAAAGAGAGAGGGAAAATGCAAAACATAATTTGTTATTATCTTTGATTCAGTTACAACAATTCGTTATATGGAAAGGATAAGGGATAGAAATGGAATTAGACACTTGTCTAATTCCCTTATACTAGAATATTACAGGATTGCCCTTATATCTCTAATACTCCCCTCTCAAACTTAGGGTGGTTGATCAAGTTTGAGCTTGTCAACAACTCTAAGTTTTGATTTAAGAAACAAGAATCTGTTGGTGGAGAGTGGCTTGGTTAACACATCAGCCCACTGATCCACTCCAGGAATGTGGGAAACAATCAGGTTCTTGCCAATCACTTTCTCCCGGACAAAGAAAATGTCAAGTTCCATGTGCTTGGTCCTTGAGTGCAAAACAAGGTTGTGAGCTAGAGATACTGCACTGAGATTGTCACAGTATCTTGGGAGTCTGATGGGTGATGTGAAGTTCCTGCAGAAGAGATTGAAGTCAGAGAATCACTGCTGTAGCTAAGGCCAAACTTCTGTATTTTGCCTCAACACTTGATCTAGCAAAAAGTGTCTGCTTCTTTGCCCACCAAGTAACAAGATTAGGACCTAGGAAGATGTAGGCCCCAGAAGTAGACCTTTTATCGTCAGGATCAGAGGCCCCGTCTGCATCACAAAGGCCTGTGATAGTGAGAGGCAAAGTGAGGTTAGCAGGTGAGAGAAAAAGGCCATGTGAAACTGTCCCTTGGAGATATTGGAGAATTCGCTTAACAACTTTCCAATGATCCTCAAGAGGGTTTGAGAGAAATTGGCAAACTTTGTTGACTGCAAAAGAGATCTCAGGTCTTGTTACAGTAGCATACTGTAGGGCTCCTACTATAGACCTGAAATAGGTGGAATCAACAACTTGAGCAGAACCTACTTTGGATAGTTTGGTGCTTGAGGCCATAGGGGAAGCAATTCCTTTAGCAGTAGCCATGTTAGCTCTATGAAGCAGATCCCTAACATACTTGCTTCGAGAAAGCAGAAGAGGACCATTGGGAAGATGCGTTACCTCTATGCCCAAAAAATAATCTAGTTTGTCCAAGTCTTTGAGAGAAAAGACCAGATTGAGTTTAGTGACCAACTGCTTGATGAAAGAAGAAGAAGAGCCAGTGATGATAATGTCATCAACATACACCAACACTAAGGTGTAACAAGATGGTGTGAGCATCATGAACAAGGAGGGATTACACCTGCTGGCAGTGAAACCCAGTTGGAGAAGAGACCCTTTGAGCTTATCAAACCAGGCCATATGAGCCTGTTTAAGCCCATATAGGGCTTTGTGTAGCTTGCAGACTAGACCGGGCTCACCCTTTTCAAAACCTGGTGGTTGAACCATATAAACCTCTTCATTAAGCACTCCATTTAGAAAATCATTATTGACATCAATTTGCTGTATGATCCAACCTTTAGATATGGCAAGTGTTAAAACAGTCCTCACTGTAATGGGTCTCACAACTGGTGAAAACGTTTCAGTATAGTCAAAACCTTCAACCCGATGGAAACCCTTAGCAACCAATCTTGCTTTATATTTATTAATTGTCCCATCTGCATTTTCTTTGACTCTAAAAACCCACTTGCAGCCAATAGGTTTTTTGTGATCAGGAACAGGCACCAAAGACCAAGTGTGGTTCCTAATTAATGCTTCATACTCAGCTTTCATAGCAGTTTGCCACTCAGGAATGGATAGAGCTTGTTTATGTGAGGTTGGTTCCAAGTGAGTGAGAAGGAGAGTGGGGTGCAGCCTAGGTTGAACAATACCATCCTTAGCTCTAGTGACCATGGGATGAGTGTTAAGAAGATGAATAGATGGAGCAGGGGAGGAGTGTTCAGTGAATGGAGAAGAGGTTGTGCTGTTGCCAATGACCACTGAGGAAGACTCAGTACCAACTTGAGGAGACACAGTTGAAGAGTCAGTAGAGGATGTTTCAGGATGGACAAAATGTTGAGAAATAGAAGCAGACTGGGATGGAGAAACAGGTAAAATAGGGTTAGGATTAATGCTGTTGAAAGAAGGTTGTCTGCTAGGAGAACCCATGGAATTAGTAGGTGATTGAAAGTATGAGTGAGGACCAACAAATATAAGGGGAATAGGATGTTCAAATGGAGGTCCAGAAAAGGGAGTAGTGGAGGGTTTTGAAACAGATTTAGATGATGAGTCAGGAAATAGGGAAATATATGGGAACATGTGCTCGTTGAATATTACATCCTTAGACACAAATATTCTGCCAGTGGGATCAAGACATTTATAGCCTTTGTGGGATGGAGAATAGCCAAGGAATAAGCACTCCTTAGAATGCATAGCAAGTTTGTGAGAATTATAGGGTCTGAGATGAGGAAAACATGAGCAGCCAAAGGCTTTTAAGAACTTGTAGTCAGGAAATTGAAAATACAGCAAGAAAAAGGGTGATTTATTATGCAGGGAAGGAGATGGAAGCCTGTTTATGAGGTAGGTAGCAGTGAGGAAAGCATGATCCCATAATTTTAAGGGTAGGTTAGCCTGAGCAAGAAGAGTGAGACTTGTCTCCACAACATGTCTGTGTTTACGTTCCACAGAGCCATTTTGGTGATGAGTATGTGGGCATGTAACTCTGTGTTATGCCATGCATGGTTAGAAAGTGTGTCAAAGGTTTGAATTCACCTCCACCATCTGTTTACACAGACTTGATTTTGAGATTAAGTTGTAGTTCAACAAGAGCTTTAAACTGAATAAATGTGGCAAGTGTGTCAGATTTTAATTTTAGAGGATAAATCCAGGTATAACGACTATAAGCATCAACATAGGTGAGACAATATGAATAGCCAGAGATGGAGGGAACTGGTGAGGGCCCCCATAAGTCACAAAACACAAGTTCAAGGGGTTTGGAGTAAACAATTTTAGATGAGGTAGATGGTAACCTATGTACCTTACCCATACAGCAGGCATTACAGAAGTCAGAAAACTGTTTATTAGGAATTGAAATATTACACAGTTTGAGAACTTGTTTAAGAACATCATGATGAGGGTGACCCAACTTGTGGTGCCACAATTTGTACAGACTGGAAACAAAATCTAAGTTCCTATTATTACAACTGGAATTGAACACAAAGCTAGATTCCAAAGAAGGATGTTGAAGGCCAGATGACTTGTAAACAACACTGAGGACTTGAGAGGAAGTAGGAGGAGGAGTGCAGTCGAACTTATAAAGACCATCACTCCCAAGGGAACCACTCAAAAGCACTTTAAAAGTACCCTGACATTTCACAAAACAAGCATTAGCATGAAACTCAAAGAATACACTTTGGCAAACTGACTCACACTCAGCAGATTTTTAGTAATGGATGGAACAAGAAGAAGATTATTCAGTTTCAAAGAAGTGTTAGGGCATAAATTTGAAGGAAAAGTCATAGAGCCAAGAGAAGTTATGGACAGACCTTGGCTATTGCCAATGTGAACCTGATCATTACCAGGCAGAGATACAATATCAGTAAGATTTGTGGCATCTAGAGTCACATGATGTGAAGCTCCGGAGTCAGGATACCACGCCTGGTTGTAGAACGAAGAACAGTCAGTGCCAGCAATCAGTGCCTGAGGCCTTGCACCAGAGTACTGAGATGCCATGATAGGCGCCATAGATCTAGCTTGATTCACAATTGAAGGACTTGGAGCCCTAAATCCAGGTTGAGTCCACACATTTGGTTGACCGAAGCCAAAATTTCCAAAGGAGGCAGGAGTACCATAAGGAGGATAGACACCATAAGAGTCTTGAGTGTCTGTAGTAGCAATAGCTAGCATCATGACCAAGTTTATAGCATATCTGACATTGCACAGAGTTTTTGTAGCCGTTGCGGCCACCACGTCCTCTGAACCTTCCTCCTCTATTGTTTCTACCATGAGAATAGCTACCACGACCAAAGCTTTGGAAATTTCCAACACTGAAGTCAGTGATATCAGGATTTTGGGGACTGAGATTGGAACTTGGCACATTACCTTGACTAAGGTTCACAGAGACAGTCTCAACAACTTCTTTCTTGGATTTCTCCACTCTAGCTTCTTGAGTGAGGAGAAGTGATTCCAATTCATCAATTGAGATGAAATCAGTCTTAGAGTTAACAGCAGCAACAACCGAGTCAAATTCCGATGGTAACACCTCAAGAATCAGTTCAATTTGGTCACGATGAAGGACTGGATCACCAATTGACATTAACGTATCGACGATAGTGCGAACGCGAGCAAGAAAATCAGAAATGGTACTAGTACCTTTCGAGAGGGAGCGAAGCTCCGATCTGAGTTGACGAGACCGAGTCTTCATTTGTGTATGGCAGAACGCATGAATTTCTTCCCAGACTTGCCACGAGTGACGAAGAAGAACGAAACGAGAGAGGAGCGAATTGAAATCGTGGATAACAACCACGTGCACAGCAGTGCATCCCGTTCTTCCCACGTGACGAAGTTAGGGTTCTCACTTCCGCTGTCGCGATCGGCAATAGTGAGGTATCGTTCCGGTATCTGAGGTGATACAACAAATCTCACCATTTTCGTGCCACGAAGAACTCCTTCAACTTGTTGTTTCCACTGTCGATAGTTGTTCTCATCAAGCTTGACTGAGATCTTTTGTTTGAAGGTGGAGTTAGCAGCGGTGGAGCTGTCACCACTTGCGGTGGAAGACGGCGATGGAGAAGCCATGCGCGCCGAGGATCAGAGATAAGCTCTGGATACCATGATAGAAAACAGAGAAGCAAAGAGTGAAAAGAAAGAGAAGAGAGAGAGAGAGAAAGAGAGAGGGAAAATGCAAAACAGAATTTGTTATTATCTTTGATTCAGTTACAACAATCCTTTATATGGAAAGGATAAGGGATAGAAATGGAATTAGACACTAGTCCAATTCCCTTATACTAGAATATTACATGATTGCCCTTATATCTCTAATAGTACTAATGCTAGGTCCTTAAAATTCACTCAAGAGATTGGAATGATTTTGAAAAACTAGAAAGTGGTCAATGATTTTGGTGGCCCTTCAGTTCATTCATTTTTTCACTACCATTGTAGCCAGCAAACTGTTTTTTGACTCACAATTTTGTGACAATGTCTAGTGAAAATTTATGCCATTATTGACTGGTCTACTTGTGATTCTCTTGGGTTAAAGCAGAGCAGCTGTGCCATGATTTTTTGTGCTGATATCTTGATAATCAGCATTTCCCGATGACAGCATTTTATCTCTGCTATCTTTACTTTCTTTACTCTCTCAGCCTACTTAAGCATTATCTTGTGTACTTGGTTTCCTCTTATAGTGGAGTTTCAATGTTTTCTATATTGCAGTCTGAGGTCATACTATGTTGGTTGCGAGGATAAACCAGAAGGCAGCTTATGGGCATACAAATACAAGCCAACTAAGGCCGTTGAGGTCAGTTTTTTTGTTCCAGTCTTGTATTTTTTTTTGGAATTTTCATGGTCCTAAATTAGTGTTTCATGATTTTTTTTGCAGGTATGTGGTAATGACGAAGCTGTGAATTTCTTGAGTGACTGGCTACATCAGTGGCATGAAAGACGTTGCAATCCCAGGAAGGAGACATCTAATAGGGATACAAGGGTCATGCAAGATGATGATGATTATATCTGTTCTGACAGTGACTATGATTCAGAAGATATGAATGAAGAGGATTCTCTGCAGAATGTTCTTTTAATTACAGGACCAACAGGGGTATGTTGAAATCTACTCTGTCAAAACTGTGGCATGCACTTCATTACATGAATTGCTTCCTATGCTCATCATTTATGCATCTATTCTAGGAAATATTGCTGAGTAATATAATTGCCAGTTTCTGAAATCAGTATTAAAATGTGGGTATAGTTGCAGCAAAAGAACCAGATTTTGAGATTTCAGAACCTTCAAATAAATATTTCTGTCAAATCAGGATAAAAGCTTTTGCCCAATTGAAAAGGGTAAATAAAACCACGGGGAAGTAGCATGCAAAAGATCAAACCAACATAGTGGAAAAAATATAATCATATAACATTGATCTATTTGAAAATGATTTAATGACTCCAAGTGTTATGGGGAATGAGATTTTTTCCTTAACAAATAGAGACTAGCTATCATTGCATTTTTTCACTCAAATGCCATGAAAAAGCATTAGATCTGGTTTCTGGTGCCCTTGTTACAAAGCCACTTCAATAATGAATACAGATCCAGTACTCTTGAATTTCTATATGGTTTATTGACTCCTAGGTAGCAAATCTACATTTACACTTTGTACCGTCTATACTTGGTGTAAGGGTCCTTACTTGTTAATGACATTCCCCCCTTCGAGTTTATTTGACTGTCACCCTGTTGGTAATTTATTGTTATTTACCAGTTGCTAGAATAAATGTTTTTCAGTATAAACACTTCTTACTCGTATTGTTACTTAAGGCACAACTCTATCATTTTACAGAGTGGCAAGTCTGCAGCAGTCTATGCTTGTGCCAAAGAGCAAGGCTTTGACATATTAGAGGTATGACCGGTTATTATTAATATGTTTTACTATTTAATTTACGCCATAACTGATACACATTGTAAATAACCACCACAATTTTTTGAATGCATTGCTGAAGATCAAACATATTCTTTATTAGCAAGATTTGGATTTAGTCTGATGCATTGTGAATTTGAACTCTGGGTTTAAGATTGTCCTTTGCAGCCCAATGTGAAGAATGGTAGTCTGAAAGATTGCTTTTTTTTTTGTAAATAACCACCACAATTTTTTGAATGCATTGCTGAAGATCAAACATATTCTTTATTAGCAAGATTTGGATTTAGTCTGATGCATTGTGAATTTGAACTCTGGGTTTAAGATTGTCCTTTGCAGCCCAATGTGAAGAATGGTGGTCTGAAAGATTGCTTTTTTTTTTTTAGTTAAAAAAGCATTGAAAATAATGGTGGAAAATGTTACTTGTACTGTCCAGTTACTGTCTTAGTCTTCTCTAGGAAGTTACTGGAAACAGTTTTGCTCGTGCACAATGAATCCCTATAACACCTTTCAACTTATTTCTTAGAATGCCTATTAGTCATTAAAGCATTTGTTTTCATTTGTCTGTCCTTTTAACCATGAATATACCCGAATATAATGGAGTCTATTGTTTGTGTGCTTCAACAGCTCAATGCATCAGATTGTAGAAATGGGACTGTTGTAAAGCAGTATTTTGGAGATGCCCTTGGTTCACATGGGTTCAAAAGGTTTGTTAATCTGTGCTGTCTATGTTTGCTGAGATTAAAAACTCTTCATGTGTTCTAATATAATAGCTTAAGCTTTAGGGCTAGTTAGTTCAAACATGGCATTAGAACCTCTAATCAAGTGATGGCTTGATCCTTATCACTCCCATTCTTAAAATAAAAATGTTGAATTTCTGGCTGGGCCTATGCACCACACCAAGTTTGAAGGACCCTTATGGGAGCAATACAGAGATATAATGTAAAACCATTTTTGAATCTCCACCTAACAAGCTTTAGAAATAGATGTCATTTCCAATCTTCTGGAGCTGAGTTATTATAAGCAACTCTATCTGCCTTATATACACACCGTTCACTTTTCTGTCATACTTTGTTGGGTTAGTCGAGTGTTCTACTTTTCTGAATAGGAGCATTTCATATTTCACAGTAAATCATTACTTTATTGAACATGAGAATGTAGATCTGTTTTTTACAAATGGATAAACAAGTCTATTCCATAATACAAAAAAGTGCTGCTAGTCGCTGCCCTGCAAAATCACAGGTCTTCTCTGTTTGTTGTCTATGTGCCACTAGTTGGAGATTTATAAGCTATATTTTTGTGATCGTGCGCCAGAAAACCAAATTTACTTGTTAAGGAAGCAAATAGGAATTATCAATTAGTACGAACTTAGCATGAAGAATTAGTGTTGTAATTCCTAAATGTCTTGAGTTATAACTTATCGGCTTTTGATCTGGGTCTGGGAAGGTTTTCTCCCTCGAATCTTCACTGAGATATAGAAAACTGAAATAGTAGGTTTATGGGAATTGAGAGTATTGCCTTACAATTAGGTCTTAATAAAATAAGAGTATGCCACTTATAATTAAATTGCTCATGTACCATGATTCAATCTAATTTTTAGTAGAACCAAGGTACTCATAAACTTTTCTGTGGATCTATTCTGTGATAATACATCTTACTTGATGTTAATATTCAGGTTATCAGAACATACTTCGAGTTCACAGAAGATAACTACAAATTTCCCCCCAGCTCCTGCTTTGATTAATGATAAAGCTGCGGATGAGGTGAATGACGGAATAGTTGAACTAATAACCTTATCTGATGATGAAGCTCGTAGCCCATGTAAAACATCCCAAAAGTTACTTGGCAAGAATGATGTTGTTGCATGTGATAAAGTTCAAACTTTGATTCTGGTTGAGGATGTGGACATACTCTTTCCTGAAGACCGTGGATGTATTGCCGCCATACAGCAGATTGCCGAGACAGCAAGGGGTCCAATTATATTGACCAGCAATAGTAAGATTACTAGTTAGAATAATGTATTTTTTGCTTAAGATATAGCATTGATCAGTTATTCATGTTTATGAAAATGTATTGTTGTATAGGCGACAATCCTGGCCTTCCAGATAATTTTGATAGGCTTCATGTTTCGTTCTCATTGCCAACACCAAAGGAGTTGATTTGCCATTTGTACTCTGTACGTGCACAGGGACTTTCCTCCTCCCTCCCTCAAAAGCAATAAAGAAAAATTATTGTCCCAGTTTAGATTAATGTTATATATTATATCAATGACCTACAGGTTTGTCTTGGAGAAGGAGCCCCCATCCATCCTCTTCTACTGGAGAAGTTTATACAATCCTGTGATGGAGACATCCGGAAGACCATTATGCATCTTCAGTTCTGGTTGCAGAGTAAAATATTCAGTAAAGGTGCGTCACACATCATTCTTGTTGTCAGACACTTGTTTATTGATATAATTCAATTAAGACCAGCTATTGTTAATTCATTTTAGCAGTAACCCATAGCATGTGCACATCAAGATTTTTTTAATTTGTATGTGTTTATTGACTATGGTAGAATTTTAAGGTGATACTAGCCTATGTTATCAAACTCGTCCTTTCTGGCCGTTATCTTGGTATGGAACAGCATAACCAAGAAAACTGCGTCAGGTTGTGCAGTTCCGTCACATATGGGTGACTTGGCCGGAACGACTGCGATAATGGGATTGGATTCGGAACAACACTGCTCTGACGTGGCTGCCCTGGTTGTGTCAACTGTATATGATATTTCCCTTGAATTTTAAGGGTAGCAAGGTTATTTAATTGAGTGTTATTGGCATTTGGAAGAATGTTTTGCATAAGACTTTGGTTTTTATTTATAAATATGAATATTTCATGAATTTTGATAGTTTAATTTAGTTAACAATTATGTGTTCATTAGTGTTAACTGTATATTGTCTGCGTCACTAAAATATTGGCCGTTCTGCTCCCATTCCATTCCCTTTTTGAGGATGGTCGGGCCGCGCCGCTATCCGAGATTGGTAACATTGACACTTGCCACATTTGCGCGTAATATGAATAAAATTATGCAATTATATTATGATAAGTTAAACTGTTGTGAAACCAGCAAAAGTCATTGAACCATAGTTTATATATTCAAAAAGTAAATTGCTTGTTGGTGATTTGTCTTCCTTTACATTTCCATGATAAGAATTAGTTTCTGAGTCAGCATGAATTTCGCCCTCCCTCTCATGTTGATTTTTGGTTTCCACATTGTTAAGTAATGTAGACTTCAGGAAAATGTCAAGTAATATTCTACAGTCATAGTATTAGTATATAATACACTGTTAGGTATCAGTGCTGTTTACTCCATAAATGTTCTGGTAAATACGTTTTCTCCTTTACTCGCTCCCTTCCCTTTACACTCAGTTTTGACTCCATTTTAGCGTGAGGATTTTTTCACCTAAGATAAGATGCAATCAGAGTGAACTCTTATTTTTTAAGGTGTTTGTGCTTAGGGAATTAATTTCAAAATATTATTATTATACACAATTCCCTTTATCTTATTACCACTTTAATTAATGGCTTAGGAAACCTTATGGATGCCCCCTTTTTGTACAGATCTAAAAGCACAGACTGACAATGTCTCACTTCCATTTGATCTTGAGGGTGGTCATCAGATACTACCAAAGATAATGCCGTGGGATTTCCCTTCAGAGATATCTGAACTAATTGAGAATGAATTTGTCAAATCAGTAAATATAATGGAAGAGAACTGCAGTATGCAAGGGTTAGTTGAAGAAGAGCTTCTTCACATAAATGAAAGGCAAAATGATTCAGATGAGCAATATATGGAGACTGATTATATAAAAGCCAAGAAGGTGGAGATGATTAAGAGAAACGGGTCTGTAACAGATTACGGTGAGCTTGAAATTCAATACAATGCTATTTCCGAGTTTCCCAATTCTTCTGAATCTCCTGAAGCATCCCATCTGCAAAATGGTCGAAGGAAACTTGTAGTAATGTCCTCTGATTCTGAGGAGGAGGATTCAAATAACCAATATCCTCAAGACACAAAGCATGAAGCTAACAAGAGACATTCCATCAAAGGAAATAATGAATGTACCTCTGAGATTCAGCTGAATGAAAACTGCCCCAGCACATCTTTTCGTAAGCTGGTCTGTTCTGAATTGGAGGATTCAGACGAGGAACGCGATAAATATTCAAAAGCAGCTGATGTTACATGCATAAATGAGACATCTAAGTCATTTGATATATCCTGTGTACCAGAATCATCTTTTGTTCCTGAAACTGCTATTGAAAGCGGAACAGATACAACGTCTGGAGCAGTGTCTTCTCGTCACTGTCTAGAAGTTTCTATGAATGAGTTGAAACCGTTCACTTTATGTGCTCGGAGGCGGTTAACAAAATTATCACACAATTCAGATATGTTGACGGATGCTGAAATTCCAGATTCTTCTCCAAAAGAGGCTCTACAAGATTTTCTAGATGAAAATATGGAAACTACAATTATTAAGGTGATGGATGAGTGCAGTCGCGTGGATTTCAAATTAAAGTCAACATTTGTCGAGTCAAGTCCATTATTGGAGACAGATATAGTACAGAATTTATGGAAAAAGCTTCGACAAATGGATTTAAGACAGCATACTATCTCAGAACAGCTAGGAGCTTCTGAAGTTGTTAAACTTGCTAGTGGGTTGAGCAATTTAATTTCAGAAGCTGATTTGTTTCACAATTACCAACATAAACATGTGAGTGCTTTTTATGGTTGAAATGAAAATTGAGATAGTTATCCTATCTTTTGATGTTCTTCACGTAATTATAACAATTCATGAATTTGCAGGATATTTTGGAGCCCCAGAGTCTTGATTCTAATGAAGCTACAACTAGTTGTTATAATGACGAAACAATGATGTACACAGTTGCTGTACATGGGTTTTGTTTTTATGTTAAACTTATAGCAGATGTTGGATCAAAGTTGGGTTGTGCAAACATGATTGATTTAACTTCTGAGATGTTGGCTTCCACAACTAATACAATGACACTGGGGAAACTATCCATTCAGGATCTTGCCAAAAGCACTGTTATTTATACTGGGAAGGAATTAGAGTTGAACAACCCCATAAGTAATGTGAAGAAGAGGTATATAGCCTTACTTTATTTTACGATGGTTAGATATACAATTTCATCTGAGTTTTGAAACTTTCTGGTAGTATTGTTTACTGTTTCTTTTATTTTTATGGTATTTTTTGCCACATGTTAATGTCAAACCCTTATTTTGGGAACCTATAATACAGTGAAAATAAATCATCTCTGTTTGAGGTTGTCCAATCCATTGTTCCTGAAAGAATATCCTTAGCAGCACTGAAAGGTGATATCTTCTATGAATATCTATCTTCATTGCGCCAAATTTCAAGGTCAGAAGCAGTCCGTGTTTCACAATGTGTTGAAAAGAAGAGAAGAGGAAGGTAAGTGTGCTGCAAATTCAGTTGTTTTCCACCTTTTGATTGCAACAAGTTAACCAGATATCCTTGAATTGCTGCTCAATCACTTGATGTTTAAATTCAGGTCGCAGGGTTTTCAACATTATTTAAGCAGATGTACAACGCTGTCTCCGGAAGCTATAACATTGGTCAGTGATGGTGATTTGTACAAAAAGATTTCTTCACAACATACAACTAACGTGGAAAGTACACCATTATAGTTTATAGGTTTAGTAATACAGCTATCGGTTCTCTGATATATTGGTAATTGGTTGCTTTAAGCAAACAAGAACACCCCTATATGAATGACACAGTATGGTGAAATGCTATGCACTGGAATGTGGGAAAAGAGGCTGATTGAAACACACCTTAAGCTGTTAAAAGTCCATGTCGTTTGCTTTTTCAAATGGAGAACTGTCTTTAAGCTGAAGTTGTAAATTAAAGCTACAACAGTGGTTGATAGAAGTTAGAAGTAGGAATTGCTCAGTTCTTAAAAATGATTTACTAGTCACGTTTTTGTAAAGCTTAAGCTATTATATCTTTGTATGGCCTAATTGTTCTTGGCTGTTTCGTTAAACAGTACAAAATAACATCTTACAAAGACAGTCGTTTTGTTAATAACATGCATTGTTTGTTAGAATTGTAATAAATTAGAAAATTGAAATGGAAAGTGTTTTTTTTTTGTGAGATTCACAACCCAATAAGAATGTAGAGAATATAGAGGGCTTTAACATTTGAAATATTAACCAAACTCATGTGGATGCATGTTCAGAGCATATCGCATCCTTTCCCTTCCAAATTCCATTACCTAGGCTTCCCAATCTTTTGGCATGCCGTCAACTTAACAATTCTTTGCGCTAATCAAACCACCATCGCTGTCCTGTAGGCGCATATTGTATTTTTGTGTGTTGAATATCTATATTTTTCATCTCTTGATAAGATTTTATTCCTTCACTTCTTTTTTTTATTCTGATGATAGGAGGAAAAAGCTATTGGATTCACATTGGGCTTTGGCATTTTGGCATTTTGATTTAAGAAATACTATTTTTCACAAAAACTTTACCTTATACTCCAACCATTATTCTTATATTGTTAGTGCGTGAGACATTTTTAGTGAAGAGAGAAAGAGAGAATAATAAAGAAAATAAAGATTTGTATTATTCAAGTGTACAAATAATGATACACACTATACCTATTTATATACGATCCTAATTGGACTTGAGCTAACACAACTTGGATTATATTAAATATTAAATCTAATATAATCTAATTTAATATTTCAACACACCCCCATAATTCAAGTTGTCGAACATTCTCAAAAATAGTCAATCTGAACTATTCCTAATTTCTTTCTCAAATTCAGGAATCTGTCGATCTTCAATCCTTTGGTGAAAATGTTGGCCAACTGTGCTTCACTTAAGCAATGCCTAACTTCAAGTTCACCTTGATTTACTTTTTCCCTCAAGAAGTGAAATCTTGCTTCAATATGTTTACTTCTTCCATGCAGAACTGGATTCTTCGCCAGATTTATGACTGACTTGTTGTCGATTTGTAATACTAGAGGTTTCTTCACTTTGACAGTCATTTCTTCAAGTACAGATCTAATCCAAATTGTTTGACATGCAGCATAAGATCCCTCTATATATTCAGCTTCACACTATGACAATGCCACCACAGGTTGCTTCTTCGAACACCATGAGATTGGGGCACCAAATACTTGAAAGAAATATCCAATTGTGCTTCTTCGATCTTCCTTATCTCCACATCAATCAGCATCTGAAAAACAATTAACTATAGCTTCTTTGCCTTCAGAATCTCGTCGAAATAGTATTCCACAATTTATTGAACCCTTCAAATATCAAAGGATTCTTCTTGCAGCCTTCATATGTGACACTCTTGGTTCACCCATATATCTATTTACTAATCCGACTACGAAACCTATATCAGGTCGACTATTGCACACATACCTCAGAGATCCCACAATTTGCTTGAACAAAGTTGCATCGACTTTGTCTTCCTCTCCATTCTTCTCCAACTTCACATTTGGTTCGACAGGTGAGGATGCAGGATTCGAATCATCCATTCTGAATCTCTTGAGTATTTCTTTGACATATTTTCTTTGACATACTTTCTTTGATGTAGCACCATACCTTGCTTCGACATTTGAAATTTCATGCCTAAAAAATAAGACAATTTTCCTAGATCCGACATTTCAAATTCCTTCGTCATCAACTCTTTGAACTTCGACAAGTTCTTCAAACTATTTCCAGTTACTAGCAAGTCATCAACATACAAGCAGATGATTGTTATATCTTGTGCTACAACCTGAACATAAACACTATACTCTGATTTGCATTTGACAAATCTTAATTCGACTAAGTATGAGTCGATCTTCTTGTTCCATGCCCTAGATGCCTGCTTAAGGCCATAGAGCGTTTTGTGCAATCTATATACTTTACTCGTTTCCTTTTGAATCACAAACTCATGAGGTTGTGTGACATAAACTTCTTCGTCTAAAGGACCATTCAAAAATGCTGATTTCACATTTAGATGAAATGTTGACCAGCCTTGGTCATGCCAATGCTACTACTAGTCGAATAGTATCTAATCTTGCTACTGGAGAAAATACTTCAGAGTAGTCAAGTCCTGCTCTTTAAAGAAAACCTCGAGCTACTAATCTTGCTTTATGTCTTGCTATTGACCCATCTGCATTGTGTTTCAACTTGAACACCCATTTTACTTCGATAGCTTTTGTATGTGTTGGCAATTTGACTAACTCCCATGTGTTGTTTCTTTCGATTGCCTGTAACTCTTCGACCATAGCTAACTTCCACTTGTTAATCTTCAAAGCTTCGCTATAGTTGATTGGTTCAGCACCTGCAAGTAAAGCAAAATGAACTAATTCTCCATATGGTGTGATTTCATCATCACCCATCACTTCATAATCATGAAGTCTTGTTGGAAGAACTCTATTTCTTTGAGGTCTTTGGCTTGTTTCAGCCACAACCTCTTCGACTTTGACTGTGACGGGAGTGTCAGCAACCGCTTCTTCTTCTACTTCGACTGGATTCTCAACAATTCCTTCGACCTCTACTTCATTAGTTTCTTCGTCAAAATCCAAGTTCATTAATGATTTGTTAATTGAATTACTAGAATTCCAATCCCAGGCAGAATTTTCATTAATCACAATATCTCGACTCAACACAATCTTTTCATTAACTGGATTGAATAGTCTGTATGCACCAGTTTTATGATATCCTACCAGAATCATAGGTTCACTCTTATCATCAAGCTTCCTTCTCCCTACATCAGGAACATGCTTGTAACACATAGAGCCAAACACCTTCAAGTGACTTACTGATGGTCGTTTGCCACTCCACACTTCTTCAGAAACCTTGTTCTTCAATATCTTAGTAGGACACCTATTCAAAATATAAACTGCAGTCGAAACAGCTTCTCCCCATAAAGATTTTGGCAATTTTTTTGCTTCAACATGCATCTTGCCATATCTAATATGGTTCTATTTCTTCTTTCACCAATTCCATTATGTTGAGGTGTGTAAGGAGCAGTTACATCATGATCAACACCATGTTCTGCACGGAAATCTTCAAACATCTTGGATGTGTATTCGCCACCTCCATCTGTTCGTAGAACTTTGATCATCTTCCCAATCTGGTTTTCGACAAGTATCTTGAATCTCTTAAAGATTTCGAATACTTCATTATTTTGTTTGATCACATAGATCCACATCTTTTGACTAAACTCATCGATAAAGGAAACAAAATATCTGTTTCCACCAATTGTATCTTCTTCAAATGGACCACATACATCTGAATGCACCACTTCGAGAATGCATGATGATCTCATTGACATAGTTGAAACGAAAGAATTTCTGGATTGCTTTCCCACTAAACAACCTTCACAAAGTTTTCCAGGCATCTCAAGACTTGGAATACCAGTAACCATATCTTGAGTAATCAGTTGATTAAGTGATCGAAAATTCAAATGTCCAAACCTCAAATGCCACAACCAACTATCCTTGTGGTCGACAATAGTTTTCAAACATTGAACTTCTGTCGAACTGATCATAGTCTTAAATATCCTGTTCTTCGACAATGGAGATTTTAAAACCAAATTATTCTTAGTGTCGAACAATTTCAAAACTCCATCTTTGATGACAACTGATAAACCTTTTTCAACTAGTTGTCCAACACTTAACAAGTTGCATTTCATTCCAGGTACATAGAGCACATCTTTGATAATAGCTTTCCCTCTATTACTCATTTGAAAGACTATGTTGCCAGTACCTTCTACTTGCAACGAACTATTATCAGCAAGTTTTACCTTGTTCTTCTTCGACTCGTCAAAATCTGTCAACCACTCCTTTCAACCAGTCATGTGGTTCGAGCAACCTGAGTCGAAAAACCAGATATTAGATTCAACATGGTTATCTGCAACTGCAGCCATAACAATCATATCACCTTCAGAATCATCTGAATCTTGGCGTGCAAGGTTCGCTCCTTCGTCCTTGCCTTTCGATCCCTTGTCTTTTATGTACCAATAATTCTTGGCCAAGTGTCCCCACTTTTCACAGTTATAACACTGCATACCTTTCTTATCTTCTTTGTCCTTTCGATAGTTTCCTCCTCCCCTTTTCGAGGATTCAGAAGATCTATCTTCGACCTTATTCTTATGGGAATTCGACCAAGACTTCTTGCCATGAGTCTTGTCGAACTTGCCTTTGAATTTGTTGGAACCACCATCTTTTTTCCATGATTGAGCTTGCAGTGCCTGTATCGAGTCCTGAACTCCCTTCCTTTCGACAATTCTCATCTCATGCGCCTCCAACGAACCAACCAAATCTTCCACTTTAGTGGTTTCAAGATTGTTGGATTCTTGAATAGCTACGATAACGTGATCAAAGTGAGAGGTCAACGTTCGCATTACCTTCTTAACTATCATCTTATCAGTAATGGTTTCACCACAACCCTTCATGAGATGGACGAGTTTCTGAACCTTCGACACATATTCTGCAACTTTTTCATCTTCTCCCATTGACAACAACTCATATTGTCGACGCAAGGTTTGTAATTTGACAACCTTGACTTTCTCACCTCCTTCGAAATACTTTACCAGAATATCCCATGCCTCATTCGCTGTTTCAGCATGAGAGATTCTGTCGAAGTTAGCAGCATCGACAGCCGTTTGAATGCAATAAGCA